CACCCCGTCCAAGCGCCTTAAGGCGACTCCGGAGCGGGCACCTGGCAGCCAGCAGGGACAGCTCCAGGCCGGCAGCACGGGCGTGTGTTGAAAAACATAGCCATGCTTTTCAGAAACTGTCAGCCGTGCACCCACCCGCCACACAGCCGTTTCCCTGTCGCCTGGGCCCCTGCAGGCCTGGCGGGAGCTGACGGGGACAGGCCCTGTCTCGGCCTCGCCTTGTACCTAGGACTGCCCAGCGCAGTCTCCGGGGGCCCTGCGCCCCCCTCTGCCTCCTGGCGCAGCCGCCGGGCAGCTCCTGCCACATTGGCCACACTAACGATGTGTGTTTCTGGCCACTAACCTCCCCGAAACGTCCCCTCATCTCCCCACCTCTGGAGCCCCCTCCCCCGGCCACCCACCTGCACGTCGGGGTTTCCCAGCCCCGAGCACAGGGACGTGCGGTGCCGTGTTAGGTCCCATCTCTCAGTGGCCACAGCACCTCCCACCTCCCGTCCAGGCACAGGCCGTTCGGAGGCAAAGCCCTGCTGACCGAGTGGGGCGTTTGTCAGGTGGACGCTGGCCCGGTCAGCAGGTGCGGCGAGGCCAGCCGCTCCGCCTGTCCCTCCCCTCCCCTCCCCTGCTGCCTGGTGTTCTGAGCCGTCGGTCAGTCTGGTTGGGTCAGTGCGCCTGACCGCTCGCCTTCCATCAGACCACGTCCCTGTCTCCTCGCAGGTCTGGCCCGAAAGGTCTCCATCTATCTTGACCACAGTAAGCAGGGAGGTGAGTGCCCTCTGCCCCGCGGCCGCCCAGGGCCGGTGGGCGCTGCCCTCTCCTGCTGGCACCTGTCCCCACGCCCGCGGTGCCCTTCGGGGCGGCAGAGGGTCAGGGCTGGCTTCTCCCTCGTTCCATCCACACCGATCCGCCCAATACAAGGACGTTAGCTGGAGAGCACCCGCTTCCCTGGGTGCGTCAGGGAGCGGGGAGCCCTGAGCCGAATCCCAGCCGCGGAGGGAGCCTCCCTAGGGTCGCCCTCCGGGGCCTCCTCCCTCCACAGGTGGGGGCTCCAGCCCAGCGGCTCCAAATCTCACCCCCTCTGCGGCGCCCACTCGTGGGCTCACCCTGCGTTCATGGAGGGTCCGCATTCTCTGTCCTCTCCAAGCCACGCCCATGGCCCAGGAATGGGAGCAGCAGGTCTCCATCTGCTGGCGAGGGTCTCGGCCGCCCCCCAGGCCCAGGTCCAGGCCCAGGGCGCACGCGCCGTGTCCCAGAGCAGATGCTCCAGGGCGAGGTTGTTTCCCACCAAAACCGTCGAAACAGAACCTTTTCCCCGAGACGTTCATGCAGGGCCTCTGGCATCATCTGTTCCCAAAGGAGAAACCCGCACGGCTTGACGAGCCCCTGAGCGCAGGCAGCAGCGGGGCTGAGGGCTGAGGGCGAGAACAGCCTGGGGAGCCTGGCTCGGTGGGCGGAAGCCCCATCAAATGGTGTCCCAGGAGGAGACGGGGAGGCTGCTGAGGGGCCGGGGCGGGGACAGCGCCACCCACACAGGAGGCTGGTCGGCAGGTCCCGCTGGGACTCGGCTCTAGTGGCGTCTGCGACTTGCAGCTTCATCGCGCTTGCGGGTGCGGTGCGCCCTGTCCCAGCCCAGCGCCCGGCGAGGGCTTTGTGTACGTTTCACACAACAGGCTCCGTTTCTCTCTGACTTTCACCACGTGGGTGACTCACAAAGAGGCGGAGCCTTACCGCAGGCACCGTGTCAGTCTTTTTCTAGGTGCGTCTGTATTGGTTCTTAGAGTAACAGCCTGGTTGCCCCCACATGTGCCCCAGCCAGGGATCGGCCAGGGATCGGGCGGCCACCTCTTGGTGCACAGGCGATGCTCCAACCAACGGAGCCCCCGGCCTGGGTGACACGTGATTCCTGTCCGGGGCCAGAGCCTGACCAGCCGCCCAGCGACTGTTTGTCCTCATCTGTTTACTGGCTCATTCTCCA